GGAATTCAATCTTTCTCTCACTCCCCAGCCTTGGAGAGAGAGCGTGGACTCACTACAGGCTTCCTGCATGAAGCCCGGCTACAGCTAGACATACCAGGCCCAACTGGGCAGCCAAGCAACAGCCTGTTTCTCATAAGCTGATTAGTGCCATATCTGTTTTGCAAGAACAAGAAAGCAGGTTCTGAATCCCACCCAGGATGAGCTAGGACCAGGAGGGGTCACTGAGGACGCTGGTAGGAGACAGTGTGACACATACATTTCACTGCTTCAGCGCCGTACAGGTAAGACACACAGAGGTCTCAGGGAGAACAGATGCTTGAACCGCCACGGAACAACTCCATTCCTGCCTTCACCCCCCTGGCACTGCAAACCCCTTTGACACTGAGGCCACGAAGCCTCTTCAAGGGGATGGCCTCCTGTACTTAGAGGGGTCCACAGCCCTGCATTCAGAACTCCGAGGAGTACAGGGACACACAAAGAACAAGACAGTGGGACACGTGTCATAAAGTGTGTCTGTGGGAACACAGGGAAGGGTGAATCATGCCAGCTCAGAGGCTTGGGGAAGCCTCCTCATGAGAAGGCAGGGAAGGGGCAGGGGAGAAAGGGACAACTTGTCTGTGGAAGTGGCCAGAACTAACTTGCAGGGTGGTGGGGAGAACAGAATAGGCGTAAAGAGGCTTTATCGTCCAGGAGCTGTAACAACCGCGTTTTGGTTCCCTTCTTCAGTACAACTCAGGGGCACAATGAGTGACCTTAAGACAGTTCAGGAACTTCGGGACCCAGGGCTATAAGCAGAACCACACCCACCTTTCACCAACCCAACAATTGCCAGCCAGTGACTACACAGAGCACCATTCTAGTTGTTGGGCTACACAGCCCAGGGCCAGATTCTCACCATCCGTAGACTTCTGGCACTGCAGGCAGAGACAGCAAGAGAACTACAGGGCCATGCCCCGGCCAGGATCTGGTCAGGGCCAGGGGAAATTTGAGCCAACAGTACTTCCTGGGAGACAGTGTTGTCCACTTAGACTCAAGGGCTGGGATATTAGGGTAAACTCTCATTACCTGACACTCCATAAGTAACGGCACTGACACATCACTTGGCAGTCTTCTTACTTGCCAGGTAATAACATAAAGGTCTGCACACTAATTTAACTTACCTGTCTTCTTTTCCATGAACATCAGAAGCCTCCAGGTTAAGTAAACAGTCAAAATCATTCAAAAATACATGGTGGTGTTTCCGAATGAACTCTCAGAACAGCTTCATAGGATGCTATGGACGTTTCATGGATGTGGGGGCTTTAAATTTTGGAAGTATTAACTGTGAAACCCTCCGTCTCACCAGCTTGTGCCAACACACATGCCAGTCTATCATTGTTCTCATGGAGGTGGGTTGACTGCTGTGCCCTGGCACACAACTGAAACCCACAGAGCTGAAGATACAGTGAAAGGTAAGGCAGGCCTGGCTTCTACACCCCACTGTAAAGGATGAAAATCTCAGCCATAACTGCAAAAGCTCAACACCTGTGCAGCTTACCCACCAGCATTTGAAAATACTGCTACTGTGACCTGTCAGGAAGACTAAAGGGAGAGCAGAAATGGCTCAAGAAAAAAGGAAAAAATTTAGGACAATCATTGGGCGACGTAGCCCAGTAGCAGTGTTTGCCTAGCATGTGTGAAGCTGTGGGCTCCACCCCCAACACCACACACACACACTCCATTTGTGCAGCACAAGAAATGCTGTAGAAAGGGCACATGAGATGGTGATGGGGGGCTCTGCCTGACTCCTGGCCAGCTGCTCTGGGAGTACAGGGGGGTGTCCCTGCAGAAACTCTGTGCTGGGCATCCATCAGGTGCACCTGCCTCCTCTGGAGTCACAAAGCACTGTGGGAGCTCAGAGGGATACAGTTCCCTGCAGTCAGTCAGCAGGGTCTCCTAAAGCTTGCCATCATGGTGTTGCATCAACGTGGCTCACGAGGGCTCACCGCCAGGCCTCTATGATGGCAGGGAGGTTGCAGGGGTAGGAGCCAAGTGGAGGAGGCAGGAATACCCAAGGGCAGTACCAGAAGCAGGAGGGTGACTTACGCTCACTGGAGAGGTGGAGCCAGGGAAGCAGATGCCGTCATCCATCCACGTGCTCCTCGCAGGCTTGAACAGGCACGGGCTAAGGGCCAATGGCCGCACAGAGCTAAAACCCTGGGCAAAGGGTACTTTTGGCAAATACTGTGAGTGAGGCAAATAAGGTCCAGGGTCTGTTCTTCAGGAGCTCCCCACCCACCCTATTCAGAGGAAATAGTTTCTTGAGAACACCACTAATTAACCACGAAGAATGCACACTGTTCCTCACAAGTGCTCCCCAACATGGAAAACAGCTGTTGCCCAGACTAATGTACTAGGCTTTCTTCCAAATATTGAGCCATATTTCTACCAGGTAAAGGAGAAGAAAGCATTCTGGAACTCTAAAGGACACATTAAAGTGCAAGGCCTTCACGAGGCCACGCTTCACGAGGCCACACCTGTACTTGCACACAAGCACCTTTAGGCCCAAGTGGCTAACACGAAGAGAGGGAAACGTCAGGAAGCTCTCTGCAGAAAGTTCAACAGTCATGTACAGTCCAATCCATGGTCTCCACGTGCTCTTTTTTCCAGTAAAGAAAAAAGACAATGAAGCAGTGACCTGACCCAAAATCCTGGGAGGAAGAAAAGCAACATTAGCTCAAGACTGAGCAGAAGACAAATATGACTGCGTTTGCCAGATAAAACAGGACACATCCGCAGCTGGGTTAGCAGATGCAACATGAAATACTGGCAGTGGGATCAGCTTGGTGCCAGTCACAGAGGCTGTCTACTGACTCATCATGGAGCCCACTTGCTCACCCTAAACTGGGCCAGGCCGTCCAAATTCAGCCATCTTGGCCGATTCACAAACTTCTGTTCGCAGAAGTGAATCACGGTACTACTCGGTCTCGGTGTGATGTCAAGGAAGTTACATCCACATTACTTTCAAACAATTTCGCAAGTGAGATTTCAAGATGCTAGAACAGACCAAGATCTATTTTAAAACACTGGTTTTAAATAAGTTGTTTATAATCATGACAATGATTACTGATCACAGGTCGTATTTGTAATAGAAAAATGATTTGCTCTCATCAGATCCTCTGCTGCTGGTGAAGGCTCTCCTTTCACGGGTTTTCAAAATTAAGAAACTGTTTTGCTTGAAGGCAGATTTTTAAGATGCAGTGCAAGGTACGCTGCAGAGCTGAATCAATGAACCGTAGGAGTGGTAAGTGCTAAAACCTTGCCGGGGTGCCGAAAGGCCATGCGCAGCACCAGCGGGGCAGGGTTCGGGGTTCTGCACCCATGCAGACCATCTCTTAGAGGTCATTCATAAATCATTGACACCTTTTCCAATGTGATTCAGAAAGCAAACTATGTCCCACAGTCACAGAGCTCCTCCAGGAGATGACATACAGAATGCACCATCATCTTCAAGAAAGAGTACAAACATGGAACACTAGTGGCACGAAGGAAAAGCCATGAGGTCCAGCGCCACCACACGGCTGACACAGTCTGTAGTGCTGGGGATGGAGCCCACAGCCCTCAGGCGTGACAGACCTGCAGCTCTACCACCGAGTTTCATCTTTAGCCTGTGTGCACCCCCATTCTTTCCCCATCCTTTTGCTAATTTGCTCAGGCTGGCCTTGAACTTAGGATCTTCCTGTCTCAGCCTCCCAAGTAGCTGGTAGCTGTGCCCCTGTACCAGGATGACACTTTGTTTTAAGATTTAAGAAACCTGACAGATCACTTAATGTCTTTAATAACTTTAACATCTGTACTGGTAAACTAATAAAATTCTAACATGAAATAAAGCGTCATTTCTTTTACTTCAGAGAATTAAGTTACAGTGAGTTACATAAATACAGTCAGATGATACAAACCTATTTTCTTTGACCCTGGATACCCAACTACATGGGATGTGGAAATATTTCTTTTATCAAGTAGATAATCTATTTTATCAATAGCTAGAGTAAGCCATTTTTGTACAGTATTACAGCTGTGAAAACAATAGACTCCTTACATCATACCGGAAAAGGAATGACTTTAAGACTTCCAAGGAACACAACTATTTTTCAAATCTGAACTCCCTGGCTGACCATTAGAAATTATTTCAAGTGTCCCACTCTTGGCCTTCCTTCGTGTCAAACCCTGGACAAAAAGGCAACAAGGCTGAACTTGCAAAGATCCTGTCTGAGCGGGTGTCTGGCTATCTGTCCTTCTCTTTAGCAGGGCCACCATGCATAATTGAGTGGTGCGGATACTTCCAACAGGACATGGGAGACACAGCTCTCCTGCTCCTTGCTCCTACAGGCTAACAGACGAGGGCAACAACGACCGCTGCGACCACAGTCACTGTGCTGTGTTTAGGTCATGGTCCACATTCCTCCTCTGGCCAAGGTTCACATGCATGAGGGAGCTGATGACCACGAACCCAACTCCACACAGCCTGCTGCCAGTTGGCGTTCGCAGAATGCATTTTTAAAAACTAAAAGTTGGCTTATCCAATGTTAATATAAGGTGCTGTTTGTGTATCACATTCTTAATTTTTTTTCATTTGTGTATTTGGTACAGGGTCTCACTGCGCAGATCGGACTCCTGGTGATCCTCCTGCTTCCAGCTTCTCCAGCGCTGGGATGACATGTGTGCAAAACCACACCCGGACACTGTCACTGGCTCAGCTCAGGGCGGGGGCGGGGCTGGCGTAGCATTTGGGACTGGGATCAAACCCTGGTCCCCCTTGCCAAAGCAGGCACTTTGTCCCCGAGCTACCTTGCTGGTCCTGTATCGCATTCTTACCCCTTTCCCAGTGAGTCAGATGCTGATGCAGGATAGTTTTGCTTCTTTTCACCAAACAGCTTGAAATATATATATACATTTTTTAATTAAGGCAGACTAGAAATAAAATGCAATTCGAGCAGATCTTTTAAACCAGATTTGTTTTTTAATTCAAATTGACCCAAAGCAAAATTTACATTACAAAGGAAGAACGGAAGCACATTATAATACTGGGAGACACAGGAGCACTAAGTTTGTGGGCAAAGGGCCTCCCCCAGTGACATCCCCAGCTACTGAGCCACTCTGCAGGGAAGCTAGTCTCGGTTTCATATGGTCCACTCTGGTGAGTATGCTACACATTCTCGTCTCGGGGTGTGCACCTGACAAGCCACGCCAGATTCCCTTGTGCTCCCGATGTGCACTCCAGAACGCTGACTTCGCTAGCGGAAATGCTGTTCTAAGCATGACTAACAATGAATTAAGAAATAAAAGTTTAGTCCTTCAAACTAACAAGCATGGGTTATTCTGTAGTAAATAGTTTAGAAAAATGGGAATTAAATAACCTAAAAAACACTCTTACTCTGCTGTACACTTATAAACACAAATATTTACAAAAAAAAAAAAAAAGAGAGAGACTTGTTTTCAAAAGATGAGGTTTGCAGTTCATTAATGATCATAATCTTTTATGAGCTGGTTTCTTTGGTGTATTTGCCAAATATAGTTTTATAAAGATTTAGCAATAGTCTTAAACAATAAATTGGAAAAGAAACACAAAAGTCAGTGACAAATTTGATTAATCTGCTGAACGTTTTAGGTAAGAGTCTGGAGAAACTGATCAGTTGATTTTCTGAAGATAATCCGTTCTTCCTACTCCTGTTGCGGCTGTGGAATGCTTCTCAGCCAATCAGATTCAAGTGCAGACTCGAGTTTCACCGCCACACCCCCCCATTACCAACTACGAGGCGCTTCGGTTACTGTTCTATATGATATGTGATTGGGATTTTATTAAAAAACATAAAGACATTCTTTGTAAGCTTCCAGATAAATCAAACCTCAAAAAATAAATAATGGAATTATATACTTCTTCATTAAATAGAAATTTCAATTCCAGAAAGAGCTCTCATAGGTTCTTTTTTTTTTCTTTCTCAAGTCACAGCAGCAACGCAGAACAAAGAATTTACCTTCATCTGCAGTTTTTACTTGGAATTCCCTGACTCAAATTCAGCTACTTAGCTTGGAAACCTCTGTATGGCTGGGATGAGAATTGTCATTTTAAGCCTCCTAAATAGACGAAGACACACACAAGCCCTGCGCAAATGGAAGACGACCATGACTTCTCAGAGGGCCAGAGCCCGGGTACCTCCTGCCTCACCTTCCCGGGCCTGGCACCTCAGAAGGAAGGCTCAGCCCATCTCTGGACATGTGACAACTGGTAAGGCGCCTCATCCCTGGGCTGGGTAGTGAAGGATAAGAAATTGGGTTTAGCAACTGTCTTCGCTAGGGACTGTCTGGGAGACATAGTTGTAAGGAAAGGCTGGGATTACCCCTTACTAGCTGTCGGGCTCCAGCCTCAGGAAAGGATGCTAATGGCACTGGCCATGTACTACCTGGCTGGGAACAGCCAGCCAGTGGGCCAGGTGAGCGACTCCCCAAATAATTCTGTTTGTCTGTAGTTGTCCACTCATCAGAAACCTACACACTGCCCAGGCACAAGCAGATCGCATATCGTGAGGCCGGGGCTACTCCGCAGCAACAAGAGCAAACTTGGGGCTGCACAGGGGCACGGCCAGCTGGGGGTGAGGGCGCTTCTAATTCTGCTTAGTTATACTTTTAGGAAAAGATGCTTATACTTTAGGACTTAAAACTAGAAATTCAGACAAGAGAAGCCCTTCATCTTGTAAACTTCAGTTAACAAATTTATTAACAGCATGTAAATATTATGAAGTTTCCCAAAGCACAAAGAATGATTCTGGGACATTTAAGAAGGTTCTTCGGAAACCCACATAATGACAAATGAAGCAGAGAACTCCTTCCTGGTGGCATCGTCCCAGACGCCTAGTGCCACTGGGATCTTTCCACCGCTACTGTATCAGACCCAGGTTTACTCTGCACGCGTATGTCCCAGCGACCCACAAAACAAAACAACTGTTCTTAAAAGCTTCACTGTACATGACCTTAAAACAGCAGGAAATGTTCAATTAGCATATTAGGAATTACAATGTGCACCCATTTAGAGATTTACCCTTAAAGTATTTTTATTTAAAAACCAAGAAGAAAAAAATCCCCCCTTCAATTTAACCATTAAAACCAAATGATTTAACAGTAGTTTGGGCTGTTTTGGGGGGATATTCTACCATGAGGATAGAAAATTTGCTACTTAAAGTGAAATTGAAAAAACTGAAAATGAAATTGCAACGGAAGTGCTACAGGTCTGCAATGAAAATTGAAGTGGTGGTTCCCGTTCTCCCAGGGATCTCAAAGCCAGCTGTGGAATGGCAGACAGGAAAACAATGGGTAGAATAGACCAGAAAAAGTATTGCACTAGAGGTGCTGTTTTAAAAACAGAATATACTGGCTTTATACAGTTATTTTCTTTCCAATTTTTTTTTTTTTTTAAAGCACAATTCAACTACAGACAAAAGCTGAGACAGTGTCTTGGGGTAGTGTCCTACAGCTGTTACAAAAACTAAGTCAAAAACAAGAGCACACCCAAAAGAATACAGACGTACTGGATTTGTCTTCAAAAGTTGTATTAATTAGGAAAAAAAAAAAAGAAAGAACAGTTTGAATTAGCCAATTTGTACTCATTAAAAGTAAGTGAGGTGCCAGCATTCCTTTAAATCTTTTCTCAGGGCATTTTTGAGTGTAACCCAGCACCCTCTGGCTGCAACTGGACTCCAAACTGTAATGAGTGTTCTGCTGGCTCCTAGTACCATGCTCACCAATGAAAGTGTAACTTTGGAAAGGCTAAGTTCTTCACTCCAAACCTGCTTGTGTCATTTAGGAAATTTTTTTTTCTAAATGCAGTATTGTATAGAAAGCTTGGACCTTTTAAACTTGGACCAAGAAACCAAATTAAGACCTTCAAGCATGTGGTGTGTGTTTATATATATAAAAAATCCCTCCCCTACAATGAAAACCAACCAACCAAACAAAAAAACCTAAAAGTGTATACCTGCTTTCTGACTTCACAGCAAATCAGAAATTGCATAGGATATACTTTGTGCAAGGCGAAATGCCTGTTAAGTATCTGGAATATAACTTGCTTGGAGTCCTGGTATATCAGATATCATCAAATTTGTGTTTTAAGTAGTCTTTCATGACCTTGGCAATTGGGAGTTCATCAAGTAGCTTTAGATTCTGAAGGCCTATACATTGTCGAATTTTAATTCGGCACAGGTCCTGCAAGTTTCTGGGCTGTCCTAAAAAGAAAGAAGAGAATGTTACAAAGCTAAGAAGTATAATATTGAAAGCAGAGTCTGAGGTTCCGAAAAGGACTGTTCCACCGTATAGTGCTCTTTATGGACCACACGCGAAGGACTGGAAGGACAGCATCTGAACAGCGCCCTGGTGAGACCTCTCGGCTGATTCCTTCCACACCCTCCGTATGGCAGATATTCCCACCTCCACTTTACAGAGAAGGGTACTCGCTCTCAGAGATTTAGTACATTGCTCAATGTGTCAGACAGTCAAGTCCTAGTTTGGGACTAAAACCAATTTTTCTGACGCTAATCTTGGTATTCTTTCCATTGCAAATCTGAGTTTGAGTCTTATCCTGACGGGGCCTCCACCACGCAGGAGAGCCTCAGCAGGCCAAGCACTTCTCGGGGCCCAGGTTCTCCACCTGGAAAGCACAGACAGAACAAGACACTCTCCCATGTGTCATTTCAGTGGTGCATCTGGATGCAACAACCTCGACACCCATCAGCTTTAGTGAAGCTTTCCAAGAAACAGCTGCCCACCTGTGCATGGTCCCCCTGGACAAAGGAGAACCCTGGGTGGGGAGGGAGGAGGAAGGGGAAGGGGGAAGACGAGGCGTGGGGGAGGAGGGGAAGGGGGAAGGAGAGGGGGAGGGTGGGGAAGGAGGGGGAGGACGAGGACAAGGGCTGAGAGGGGCAGAGGGGAGCAGCGCTGCAGGAAGTTGGAGGCTTCCACTTCCGGCCTCCCGCCCTGACCACCTGCCACGAAGTCCTCCTATGGTTCAACTCAAGTGAAAAACAGTGAGATCCAATTTCTTTTTCTTTTACATCAAAACAATACAGATGGCCCCGTCACAAGCAAAAATTCTTCAACAGTGTGTATTCTTCGGGAGTGTTTGGATTCCCCGACGTTGTGCTCTTTTAGTGAGTGGTAAGAAAATGGGGACTAACATATATGGAATGCTGCACTATGCCACATATTCACTCCTGAAATCTTTTTATGAAGGAAGGACTCTGATCATCATCCTCATTTCAATGACAGCCTCAGAAAGATTAAGTAACATGCTTAGAGCCAAGGAGATGCTGGATTTCAGTGCCTCTACGGCCTCAAAAATTCCTTTCCACTTTTAAAACTGATGGAGGACCCAAAAGAATTTTGATGTGGGCTACACCTAGATAATCTGAAATAAGAACAGAAATTATAGCGATCCATATACATTTAGAATAAAAATAGACTCATTGCATGTGAAATGGTAACACGATGAAAAATACATTTTCCAACAGAAAACAAAGAAAGAGTGAAAAGAATAGCATTCTTTCGTATTTCTGCAATGCTTTTCAATGCGTGGCTTAATAAATCATAGCTGAATTTTCACATGTGCTTCTACATTCCATCTGTTAGGGCGAACTCACATCATCTGGCCTCTGGAAAGCTCCAAGGCAGAAGGGAGTGAAAGGTGAAAATAACGCCTCCTACTGTGCAAGTTACTTGGACTTTGCAGACACCCTGGAAGGGGACACAGGGCTTCCCGAGTGTACGTGAAGAACCACTGCTCAGCTTAGTACTTCAGCCTTTGCTTGAAATGCACTTGTTCATAATGACCACCATTGTTTAAAATTAAGTGACCATCCCCTTGGCAATGCCAGGCGGCTAGGGGGATGTGCGGCACAGATGTCCGCAGAAGGATGCAGGCACAGATGTGACACACTCACCCTCGAGTCCCCGGGGAAGGTCATGGCACCTGTGTCTTCGGATCTCAGCCAACACTTTATGGAAGAAGACAGTCAGATTCCCAGTCGGGTACCCCAGAGCTCCCTGACGTGCTGATGCTTGCCGACACTAAGGCCGAGTTTTACGTTTATGTGTTTGGTGCCCATCTTCCTCACTTGTGACAAATGCCCCATGAGGGCAGGGCCGTTTCTGACTCTACCTGCCAATGTAAACCCAACACCCAACATTCCACGAGTCTTTGTTGAACAAATTAATACTTAATAGGCTTCTCTTAAAGTATAAAGCAGTCGACTCACAGCTATGTCAACAGCAAGTCATTCCTAACTTGTTTTGAATTACATCTCATCTGTGGGGCCACCTTTAGGAAGGGAATACATTATCATCATTTTTCTTTTCTTTCTTTCTTTCTTTTCCTTTTTTTTTTTTTTTTTTTTTTTTTGGTATTTTAGGGGAAGGTCTACAGGGTGTTCAGGGTCTCACTACTAGATCAGGCTCATAGTGATCTGGATCAAACCCCTGGCCCCTGCACCTGCTTGCAGGTGCTTTAATCCACTGAGCTATTTGGCTGGCCCTATCATTTTTCAATAGATGTTCATAGTAACATATCCCAGAATATGAAGTAGATGTGAATCTTATTTTTTATTTACTTTTTAATGTATGTAATACAGGGTCTTCAAGGTCTCACTACATAGATCAGAATCATAGTGATCCGCCTGTGTTCAGCCTCCCAAGTGCTCGGACTACAGGTGTGTACCACCACGCCCAGTCTCAATAGCTGAGAGTGTGGCCGGCATGGCAATGAATCTTATTTTTTTTAAAGTTAAGAATTTTATGTTCCTAACAGGTGGCAGGTTCTTTTAAAGTGTAATTTTAATGAAACAAACCACCACAATATATTCAGGCGAACACCAGGAAATGATAAAGTTGCCATACATCACGCAGATTTAAATGAAAACACTATCAACAAAATGGTAAAAACAAATGGAATTCGCTTAGCTAAGGTAAAATAAAAGGGATCGAGCCAGGTTATGTCAGGCCGGCACTTACTCCACTTAGCTTTACCCGTGGCCCCCTGATAGCTGTGTTTCGTAGTGCACAGTTCCTTACAAAGAGGACCACAGTATTTCCTACCCCTCTTGCTTTTTGCAGTGAGGCTGGATATTCCTCATTCAATGATTGGGAAAGGCAAACATGAGTAAATAGCTGGCAAGGATGGCAGCAACTCCGACACCCTTATACCAACGCTCTTCCAGTCCTACTCAGCAACTTCTATCACTTAATGCTTGAAGGCATCAGTTAGTTATTTCGTGTACGTGCTCTAGCCTCCTCTCTGGAGCACCTCGCCTGGGGCCTCTCCTCACACCAAATGGCTCACTCAGGTGGCTGGGGGTCTGTGACAGCAGCTGGCTGGGAGCCCCCCTAGGACCATCAAGGCTAAAATACACCGCAGCTGCTTCCCTCAGTGGACATTCTGGACCTACACAGAGTGCAACATACTGCTCAACTTCCTGATTTTTCTTTTCAACGGTGTGCTGAGGCATCTATTCATACTCTGGGAGAATGCTATCTTCTACAGATTCCTTGAGCACGTAACTCCTGTCTGCAGAGTTACCTTTCACGCTAGAGACACAGCACGGAGGTTCAAAGGCCACCCGGGTCTGCCTCCTGGCTCCTGAACTTACCACCCACACGCTACGTGATCTTGGGAAGAGTGTCGAGCCTCCTGCTTCAGTTTACTCCTGATAAAAGTACCCACCTCAAAGGCTTCCCAAGCATTAAAGAAGCCTAAGTTTGGTCACATGCTGAGAGTAATACCAAACACACAGAAGTACTTGGTAAGTAAATTTTAATGTATTAATTTTTAAATATTTGTCAGAATAATGTTTGCTACTTATTTTTTTCCAGTACCTAGAACTGGACTCAAAGCATTTACACTGACTGACACCCTTGCTCCTTTTTAACTCTTTATTTTGAGACAGTGATGGTATAGGTCACAAAGTTGCCCAGCTTGGGCTCAGACTTGTGACACTCCTTCCTCAGCCTGCTAGGAGGCTGGGATTATATGTGCTGCCACACCTGGCAGTGTTTGCTTCTAATTCCCAGGAAAGCAGAAGTCCCCTTCCCTGGAAGGGAAAATCTTCATCTTCCTGATACTAAGAGAGAGAAAGAAAACCAACTGACAGCAGAACTGTGAAGGGGCAAAGTGGCACTCCAGTACTAGAAACAGTCTTGGGCAAGCTGATGGAAACTCTATGTTGGAAATTACCACATGACTTGAATCAGGCTGAGATGTGAGGACTTCTAACTTCATAAAAACATGTACACTAATGAATAGAGAAGTCTAATTATAGGGTCTCCATTTATATATAGCATATGAACTCATCTTGCCATGTATCAGCATTGTTGAATCAACAGCAGACAAAATGATGAAGAGTAAGAAGACTACTCATTTTAATTACTATTATTCTTAAGGCTGTAACAGGAGTCTTTCTTCAGGAATAGCAGATTATGGTTCAAAGAGCATCCTGTCCACTGCTCTCTCAGAAGTGCTTGGTGAAGCTCCATGACATACAGATGGCGGACTGAATATTAAGGACAAGGGGCGGAGGAGGAGGAAGAAGTAGAGGTGAGAAGGAATGCAGGGAATAAGAGAATGATGAAGAAAATGCTTTACTAAGCACCGTAGAAACTGGTTCCTACCCTGCCCATAGATTATAACAGGGAAAATGTAGGGAACATGTCCCAAAGGAGTACGATTTAAGACACAATAAACACTTCGGGGGGTGCAGAAAAGGTATATATAGGGTGTTCAGACTAATGAACTACAATGGAATTACATAACAGTTCAAAGCGTTATTAGTCTTTCCATTCTGTAAGAAGCCCATCATTAGTAATAATGGGGCTAGTATAAAATATGAAATCAGGCTTTAAAGGGTCCAATTTAGTGTAAGTTACAAAACTAGTGATAGCATAATTTAGGAAATTAAATATGTGACACCATCACCCTTTGACACCGCCATTACTACATGTATCAACTATAAGACATATTTATTTATTTGGATAAAAATATCTGGATGCACAAAGGTAAACAGAAAGACAAAACACTGTTAAACGGCCAAACAACAACATAGGTGTCTCCGGGGCACAGGAAACAAGGTGGAAGGTGGCATGTGAAGAAATCAAGACCTGGCCTCCTCGAGATTATGCCCAGTCTGACCACTGTTCCCTCATCAGAGGCATCTGGAACCGCCTCCCAAGGCCTCACTGGTTT